GAACGTAGGGGATACGCTTGAGGCTGTTTTCTTGAAGAATGGATACACTTGTTACAATATGAAATCTAGCGCGATTTGCCTAACGCGTAGGTATTCTTCGCAGCGTCATGATATTCATAATATTCTTCCGTTCTGGTGCGATTAGAGCACATTGTCTCTTCATTACCCATTTTATCAAACTCTTAAAAAGTGATAACGCTCTGCGCCATGGAAGATAGGGCAAATGGTGCGAATGCATTCAGCTGCAACCAAGAAAAGCAAGGGGTTTACGGTCATTTGCGCACTAAACTTCGACAGAAGTTGTAAATACCTTAACACATCAAACCCTTTACTAAGATCTTTTGCAAAGCATAAATATTTATTTTTAGATTGGATTCAATCCACAATAATGATTGATATGTACATCACACGTAATTACATGATTATAGCTCGTTTAGTGGATATTGGTCTCTCGTTTATCTGTTTTCGTATAAGTCACTGGGATGCTTCTCTTATTCACATGCGCAGATGGGAATTTGGGCACCTCTACGGACAGTCTTCCTGAGTCACTAAGAGTAGACCTGATTGCGTCGATGTCGGCTTCATCCGGAAGTCTCCACGTCCTCACGAAGGACCTAAATCATAAATATAAATGAGAAAATGGAGGTTTTAGTTCTACCATCTTAAATTGTGAAGAAATCTCTTCCAACTCAAAAGTAATCACCAGCATGCCTTTTCGAATAGCTTTTATCGCCTTTGTGCTCTTGCTTTCCTTCGATTTTTAAGGTCCTTCCTTCCAAGTTTACTTTAATTTCATCCGGATTAAATTGTGAGACATCTAATGACACAGCAAACCGCTTTTCATCATTCGTAACCTGTAAAATTCTGTATTTTCTGTGCTCCTGCTCAAAGGTAGTTCATACATTACCTTTTGTGCTTCTCCATATTTTGCTGATGGGAAGAAGCTCTCCTCGAATCGTCGCATGTCTCTTCGACATTCATCCAATGCTCGATCAATCCGTCGAGACATTTCATCAAAACGCTGGTCTAACTCGGTCCAATCTGGTGATCGCGGACGACGCCACAATGTCATTTCTGTTAATGGGAAGTTTGGAATGCGGAAAGTTCGGCTTATAACGTGAAAATAGAAACGACCATACAAGAAATTCTCAATTATGGTAAAGCACCGTCTTAGCGAACGACACAAAGCAGAATCAAGACAGGTGAAGAGCTTGGTGTT